CAGGTGAGCTCCCTCCCACCCGTGCTTCAAGCCATTCGGTGGAGTGCATGTCCACTGCTCTATCTCGGCGTCTACCTTTCTGCCACGCATCCTTCTCTGCTGGAGAACTGGCGGCATTTGGAGGCCAGGGTGGGTGAGCGGCTGCAGAGATGGACAGGACTCCTCCCGTGCCTCTCCCTGTTAGGGAGGGTGCTGGTGCTGAACCAACTAGTCCTGTCCATGCTCTGGCGCAAGCTCAACACCCTCAGCCCGGCCCCGGGGATCCTGGCCTAGCTCCAGAGGCTAGTTCTGCAGTTTTTCTGGTCACGACTGCACTGGGTCTCTGCAGGGGTTCTGCTTGTTCCCCTGGAGGAGGGAGGACAGAGCCTGGTTTACCATGTCTTCCGCCACCAGGCCCCGCAGAGACTCCTTTGTGGTGCAGGTAGTTTGGTATGGAGCACATTAGCACACGCCTTCCTCCACCACCTTCCAGGGCTCCGATATAACCAGCACCTCTTTTATCTCCATCCGAGGGGTCTTCTGTGAGATCTCTTCATCAGCACGGGCCTGTACCTGGGGTGGTTCACCCCCCTCCCCAATACCTGTCCATTTTGCAGCGTGAGGGAGACCCTGATGATGCCGATCTAGAATGTGCCAGGTTGCAGCCCCTATTCTGGCTCTTCCAGAACCTCCTGTTGAGGTTCTGGCTGCACTCCCCCCCCACATTTTCATATATGCACCCATTGTCAACCTCCCCCTGGCACTGGCCAAAGTACCCATCTACAACACCAGGAGGAGGATGCTGGACGAGGGGGTGCTCTGTGACTGTGGGGCCTATCTCTGTTCCTCCCTGGTCTCATCTCAAATGCACCCAGGTGAGTTCCTCTGAGCGGCTTCCACTGGCTCCCTAGACAGCTTCGAGGAGCAGTGGGTGCTGTCCAGGGTTCTCTGCTCAGTGTCCCTCTGGGTTTTGAACCTGTGACCTCCACTCCTGGCCCTGTTATTCCTTAGTTGTCCCGCATTTTCAGTTGAGTCCTGGGTCCAGTAGCTCCTCCCTCAAGGCTGGGGGAGGGGCCTTTAGATGGGGGCAGGTGATTTCAATAGGCTAAGCACTCACAGCTGCAAAGGAAGTCAAGGGGAGGTGTGCTCTGAACATACCAAGTGCAATTTAAATACTCCAAACCAGGCCCTGGTCTCAGGCTAGGCAAGGAAAAGCAGCAGATGCTTTCAACCCGAATCTCTCTCTGCCTTAGTCCCCGCCGCACCCACCTGTGGGGCGCTGTGACTTTGGTCACGTTTGCTCAGCTCACAGCTGCAGCTGGGTGCACAGGGGGCCAGAGCAGCGTGTGTAGGGCCCAGGAGCACCCCGGACACCAGCTACCCATGCATGGCCGGGCCTGGCAGGTAGAATCGCCATTTCAGATTTTGGTTGGGGGGGGGGGGGCAACTTGGACATCTGAAAACTCTAGGGCTTTTTGCAGATAACTTAGAAATTAGCTGATAGGGCACTGTATCTAATTCCTATATTAAAAAAGAGAATTAAATAAATATTAGACCCACTCAGCTCTAATACTAACATGTTCTCACATCTTGTGTCAAGTCATTTAAGGAATACATGTTAGATTTAAAATTTAAATATATATTCTTACTTTGTTACTAAATCTTGAATACAACAATTGAAATACTCGTAGAAAAATCTAGATGACTTTCTATCACTTTTTTGCAGTTTACCAAGCCTGTAATAGATCATTTAGCTTTGGAAACATCCTATTAGGGCAAGGCCCTGTGAGTTTATACTGCACCTGCCTGGGGCTCTAGAGGTGTTACCTCACTACATATAAACTACAAACTGACCTGAAACAGGAGTGAAAGTGACACTTTCCAGTCACTTTCACAGTATTGCCAATCCCAAATGTTCAAAAATCATGGATCAGGCTCATCAAAAATCGTGAGATTGGCTTTAAACTCATAAGATTATGTAAAAATAATAGATTTGTTGTTCTTTTTATTTGCCTTCTGGTTTTTGAGCCTTTAGGGTGCACTGGGGTCACATTTTGAAGCTTTCTCCACAGCCAGGAGGGCTAGAAACTTCATTTTTCTTTAAGAATGAAGGCTAAAATCATCCCAGATCCACCTGACTCCAGGAGCAGGGGCTTTAAGAAAAACAATAATTATCATGAGACTCATGACAAAATTATGAGAGTTAGTAACACTCCTTTCACTTCTATTTAAAAGCTAGTTACTTTCCAGAAGGCTCTTAAGCACAACACTACAGTGATTGAGTTGCAGTTCTCACAGGAGAATATTTAAAACCAAACACCAAAAAAATTCCACATTTAAAGTTGAGAAAAAAATTGAGACTTCTGAGGTATCCCAGGGCAACTGCAGGCAGGAAAAGAAAATAAACAGGCACAGGAGCTCTGGACAGCTCTTCCTTTAGAAAGAAGGTTGGAGGGTCAAATCTTCTAGTCCTTAATCCAGTACAATTTCTATTGCCTTCACTCATAGATATTAACATGTGCTTAATAAGTATACACTTCATACTTAAATATCTGAGCCATCTTATCCAGGGCTACACATTTGATACACACTGGCTCTCAGGGACTGTATTGTCTGGCATATTCTGAACAGTGCTGAGCACACAGATGGTGCCCAGTGAATAACACAAATCATGACAATAATCGTTGACTTTACGGACTCTGTGGATGTAATTTCTGTTCTTTGTTCTGGACTTGGGCTGGATACAGCTGAAACCTGAAGAGTTTGAGGCATAAATACACCTGATACTTATGACACTTTCTGATTCTTTCCTTTTCTCAAACATAGAACAAAAAAAAAATGACAAAACAAAATGGTTTTCAGTTAAAATGTAAAATTGCACAGCAGCCATTGCTTTACAACCCAGCCTGGGGCAGAACCTGCCACCCCTTGGGAGTTAAGTGATCTCCTCTCATCTGACTCTGATTCTCTATCCTTCCTGACCTCTGTGCTGCTTTTCATGCTGTCAACCATGACCTCCATGCCAACCTCCTGGGACCATTTGCTGGAGTCTCAGATAACTGGACGCCTTGGTTTTGCTCCCATCTATTAGAGTCCTCTTTTTTTGCAGCATGCAGCAGAGAGAAAGGCTGATCTAGGGGATAGGAAGCTAGCCCTGAGACACCTACTCCCCACCCCACCCGGACTTCCTGTCTGGTCTTGGGCCAGTGCCTTATGGCATAGGCGCCGACTTCCCCTCTGCCCAGTGGGTGCTTGACACACACCCCTGCTGTGCCTGGCCCCACCCCTGCACCACCCTTGCCCCACCCCCATTCCACCCTGCCTTTTCCCACCCCAGCCCTGCCACCTTCCGCTCCCTTCCCCCAAGTCCCCGCCCCTGCCCTGCCTCCTCTCCTGAGTTCAACGCCTCCCTGCTCCTCCCCCTCTCTCCCGGAAAGTCGGAAGCGCTGCCAAACAGCTGTTAGGTGGGGGGTGGGGGTGGGACCTGGTGCTCAGATACTACGGTGGTGAGGCCACATAAGTACCACAGGTAGAGTGGGAACTTCTCTGTACCACTGCTATCCCTACCCTGGGGTTTTGCCCCTTCTTTTCACCTGCACCCCCAAATCTCTCCCTTTTCTGAATGTAAATTTGGCTCAAAGGGCTTGGCTGTATTTTTTCGGAGTCCCCTGCGTTCGCTCTAAAACAACTCCCTCCCCCCGCCCCCAGATTCCTGTTTTACAGGCTAGACTTTCAGATCATTAATTTCATCACCAGCTCTTCCTTACCTTCATCACCTCGCCTCCGTTTGCAAAGAAAACACTGCTTGCCTGCCCCAGGGTGACCAGATGTCCCGGCTTTATAGGGACAGTCCCGATTGTGGGGCTTTGCCTTATACAGGCTCCTATTACCCCCCAACCCGTCCTGATGTTTCACACTTGCTGTCTGGTCACCTGCCCCAGGGCACCTGGCCAGGGCTGCGGGGGGGGGGGGGGGGGCAAGTGGGGAATTTGCCCCGGGCCCGGGCCCCGCACGGCCCCCACGAGAATACAGTATTCTGTAGTATTGCAACTTTTTTGAATGGAAGGGGCCCCGGAAATTGCTTTGCCCCCGGCCCCCCGAATCCTCCGGCGCCCGGCACCGGCTCCCCCTGCAGAGCCCAGGCTGGGCTGTGGCTACAGCCCACGGGCGCCCCTGCCGGCAGGGAACGGGCCTGGCCCACGCGTGAGTGCGGCCCAGAGCGGAGAGACCCCGCCCACTCCCATTGGACAAGGCAGTTTCCGTCGGGCAGCGATCCCCATTCCTATTGGCGAGCCATTGGCACGTGCTCAGGGGCGCTGCGCGGTGACTGGCTGAGGGGATAGAGTGCGCTGATTGGTGGCGAGGCGCCCAATAGCCTTGAGACGCGGCGTACGAAAGCGGGGCGGGCGGCGGGCTCCCCATCCCCGGGCGCCGCTCGGAGCCGGGCGCGGGTCGGGTCGTGTCGCACGTGGGGCGGGTTCGCTGGCGCCTGCGCACCATGAAGGACCCGCCGCCCCCGCCCGCGTGGAGCCCCGCGCGTGGAGCCGCCCACGGGCCCGGGCCGGGCGGCGGGGGCGAGGAGGCCGCTGTCCCCGGAGCGGCGGCCGCGTGGGAGGGGCGCGGCGCCCGCAAGCCGCGGCACCTGAGCCCGCTGTGGGAGGAGGAGCCGGAGGCCGCGGGAGCTGCCGGCGGGAGGCCGCGGGAGGCCCCGGACCCGGACCTGGCGCGGCTCCGGCTGGGCCGCGGCTCGCCCGAGACCCCGCTCTTCCGCAGCTTCTTCGCCGAGGAGTGCCTGGCCATCGCGCGGCAGCTGCAGCGGCCCGGCCCCGAGCTCTCGGGCATCGCGGCGGAGCCCCTGCCCCTGGAGACCACCTGGTGCCTGGGGGGCGAGCGGGCCGGGCCCCCAGACCCGCCGGGCCCGGGGCCACTCGCTGCCCGGCGGGGGGAAGCGGGGCTACGGGGCTGGGGGCCCGGCTGCCAGAGCCCCGGGGCGGGGGGAGTCCTGCCCGCCGGGGCCGGGGCCGGGGGAGCCGCCCCAGCCCCAGCCCCGGGCCCAGAGCCCGAGCCCAGGGCCCTGCTGAACCTCACCGTGGAGCTCCAGGGCTCTGGCCACACCAGCGCCGCCCTGAGGCAGGTAACATTTGAGGTCTCCGCTGCTCACCCGCTCGGGTCCACTGTGACCTTGCCTGTGGAAAGGGAGCACCTGGCTGACCAGTCCGAGGTGGATGCGCTAGAGCCGAGCAGCTCTGCTTACAGAACCCAGGAGCTGGAAATCCTGTCCAATGAAAGCACCGTTTCCTTAGGCTCCAGCTCCTTTGCAACCTCCACTCCGCTGATGGGCCCAGCAAAGTTTCACTTTGTGACAGGTAGTCCCCTGGGAGATGACTTGGAACAGAGGGACCCAAACTCCTCTAGACGTTCAATGCCGAGAGAGCTAACCTGCCCGAGTCAGGCTGGCTCCAAATCTGCAGCACCCAAGGTAACCCAGAGCGCCATGTCCAAGTGCGGGAACCCACCCGAAGAAGAGTCCCGTGGCAAGGTCAGTCTCAAACCACCTCGGAAGAGTACGGCCTTGCCTGTCTCTTCCAGAAGCTGTACCAGTACTGAAGGCCAAGCTGCTATCAAATCACTGCCCCTGGCCTTTACCACCCCAAGAGCAAGTAGGAGTCTGGCCCTCGCTTCCTTTGACTCTCGGAGAGCTTCTCGGGAGCTGCTGAGAGCAGGCCTGCCTCCGAGGAGCAGAGGCATCGCCTCCGAGGGGAAAGCAACAAGACTGTCTCTGGGTAACTCCGGGCCCAGCATGCAGAAAGCAGCTGCCACTGGAAAAACAAGCCAGGGATCCAACGTGGAGACCCAGCCTGCTGCCCAAGTAAGTGCTGGGGGTGCTACAGCTTACTGCTGACTAATAATGTCAAGTGCCTCTTCCAACTGCCCCTTACTTCAGTATCCCATGGGAGCAGCGTGAGGGAGGGACCAAGGTGCTATTTCAGATTTGGGTGGGGAGCAAATTTAATCATGATTCCAAGGGCTACTTAGGCACCTGGGAACTCTAGAGTTTATTTTATTTTTTTTGTTTGTTTGCAGGTAACTTAGAAATTAGCTGATAGGGATTAGATACAGTGCTCCTATGTTTTAAAAACAAATTGATAAATATTAGACCCACTCAGCTCTAATACGAACATTCTCAGCGTCTGACGAAGTGGGTATTCACCCACGAAAGCTTATGCTCCAATACATCTGTTAGTCTTAAAGGTGCCACAGGACTCTCTGTTGCTTTTTACAGATCCAGACTAACACGGCTACCCCTCTGATCTTGTGTCAAGTCACTTAAGGGACACTGGTTAGGTTTAAAATTGTAATGTATATTCTTTGTTACTAATGCTTAAATACAACAATTGTAGAAAAATTTAGATGACTTTCTATCACTTCTTTGCAGTTTGTCAAGCTTTGAATAGATCATTTAACTTTGGAAACATCCTACTAGGGCAAGGCCCTGTGAGTTTATACTGCACCTGCCTGGGGTTGTTGGGGTGTTACCTCACTACAAATAATAGACTAGAAACTGACTTTAAACAGGAGTGAAAGTGACACTTTCCAGTCACTTTCACAGTATTGTCAATCTCAAATGGTCAAAAATTATGGATCAGGCTCACCAAAATCATGAGGTTGGCTTTAAACTCATGAGATTATGTAAAATAACAGATGTTGGGTTCTTTTTATTTGTCTTCTGCTTTTTTGAGCCTTTAGGGTGCTTTGGGGTCACATTTTGACGCTTTCTCCACAGCCAGGAGGGCTAGAAACTTCATTTTTCTTTAAGAATGAAGGCTGAAATCAACACGTATCCCCTTGACTCCAGGATCTGGGACTTTAAGGAAAACAATTACAGTGAAACCCCGCTATAACGCGATGATTGGGGTCCAAAAAATTAGATGGCGATAAATGCGGGGTCGCAGTATAGCGGGGTTACGAAAAGTTTACCATTTAAAGCCGGTCAGTTTCAAGCCGGTCAATTTCTCTTGGGCAGAGCAGGGGAGATGTGCAAGGGGCAGGGGAAGAGTGAGGAGCAGCTGGGGAGAAGAATGGCTCTTCCTGCCAAAAGGAGAAGCAGGGGGAGGGGGCAGTGGGGAAGGCACGTGTGTTTTGTTTTGTTTTGTTTTTTTCTTTGGCGGCGCTCCGGACGGGGTGTTTTTGTTGTTTTTTGCGCGTTTGGGGCGGCGGGAGCCACCTTATGATCGTGCTATATCCAAATTTGCATATTGCGGGGCACGTTATAGTGGGGTTTCCCTGTATCATGAGACTCATGACAAAAATCACAAGCCTTGGTAACATTGCTTTTACTTCTGTTTAAAGGCTAGTTACTTTCCAGAAGGCTCTTAAAGAAGCACAGCACTACAGCGACTGAGTTGCAGTTCTCACAGGAGAACATTTAAAAGCAAACATCAAGAAAATTCCCCATTTAAAGTAGAGAAAATTGAGACTTGTGAGGTACATCAGGGCAACTGCAGGCAGGACAGGAAAATAAACAGGCACAGGAGCTCTGGGCAGCTCTTCCTTTAGAAAGAGAGTTGGAGGGTCAAATCTTCTAGTCCTTAATCCAGTAAAAGTCTATTGCCATCAGTGCCTCCACTCATACATATAAACATCAGTGAACATGTGATAACACGTATGGTCAATAACTATACACTTCATGCTTAAATATCTGAGCCATCTTATCCAGAGTGACACAGCTTAGATGCATTGGCTCAGGGACTGGATTGTCTGGCATATTCTGAACAGTGCTGAGCACACAGATGGTGCCCAGTGAATAATGCAAATCATGACAATAATCGTTGACTTTATGGTGTGGAAGTACAGACTCTGTAGATGCAGTTTCTGTTCTTTGTTCTGGAATTGGCCTGGATACAGCTGAAACCCTAAGAATTTGAGGCATAAACACATCTGATACTCAGACGACACTCTGATTCCTTCCTTTTCTCAAACGCAGAACAAACACTGACTGAACAAAATGGTTTTCAGTTAAAATGTAAAATTGCCCAGCAGCCATTGCTCTACAACCCAGCCTGGGGCAGAAGCTGCCACCCCTTGGGAGTTAAGTGAGCTCCTCTCATCTGACTCTGATTCTCCATCCTTCCTGACCTCTGTGCTGCTTTTCATGCTGTCAACCATGACCGCCATCCCAACCTCCTGGGTCCATTTGCTGAAGTCTTAGAGAACTGGCCGCCTTGGTTTTGCTCCCATCTATCGGAGTCCTTTCTCTCCCCCCCGCCCCCAGCATACAGCAGAGAGCGGCTGGTCTGCTGGATAGGGAACTAGCCCTGAAAAACCTGGGTTCTACTCCCGCCCATGGACTTCCTGTCTGACCCCAGGCCAGTGCTTTAAGGACAAAATTTCTAAGGTTTTTAGACACCCAAAGATGCTGCTAGGTATCTAGCGGGGTCTACAAAGCACCAAAACTTCTAAGTGCATTTGAAAATCTCACAAGGTGCCTAAAAAAACAACAAGGGGTCTGGTGGCACATTAAAGGCTAACAGATTTATTTGGGCATAAGCTTTTGTGGGGTAAAAAACCTCACTTCTTCAGATGCACCTAAATACCTTTGAAAATCTGGCCTTTAGTCTGTGTGTGCCTCAGTGCCCCCTCTGTACACTGGGGAGAACAGCCCTGCTCTACCTCGCTGAGGGGCTGGGAGGAGAAATCGGTTACACGTTGTGAGGCTCAGCCTCAGATACTATGGTGATGAGGCTACATAAGTACCACAAGTAGCGTGGGCACTTCTCTATACACTGCTAGCCCTTCCCTGGGTCTGACCCCTTCTTTTCACCTACACCCCTAAACCTCCCCCTTTTCTGAATGTAATGTAGGCTCAGTGCTTTGCTGTGTTTTCTTCTGAATCCCCTGTTCTCTCTGACACAACCCTTCCTCCCTCTCCCCCCTCCACGGAGGGATTCCTCTTGCACCTAAACTTCCAGACCCTTCATTTAATCACCAGCCTTTCTTATCTCAATCACCCGGCCTCCACTTGTAAACAAAACACTGACTCCCTGCCCCAGGGCACCTCTCCTCTGCACAACTTACATTTCACACCAAGGCTGTATCTACACTGCCACTTTCAGCACTAAAACTTAAATCATTCAGGGACAAAAGTTTTAGCACTGAAAAGCGCTAGTATAGACCACGCTTTTGCTGCTCCCGGCGATAAAGCTACCAGCCCTCATTCGTGGTGGTTATTTTGTATGGCCAGGGGGAAGAGCTCTCCCCCCCCCCCCCCCGCGATAAAGCGTGATTACGCAGCCTGGCCGTGCTGTAAGTGGGCAGTGTAGACATGCCCTAATCCTGTGCTGTAGTTAAGAGTTCTACCTGGGAGCTTGCAGACCTCCTGTATGAAACTCAGAGGGGGGCTCCCACCATTCCCTGCACCCCCTAATTGGCACCCTTGGGAGGAACGTGCTCACGTTTCTGTTAGAATAACTGAACTGAGGAGAGAGAGTCAAGTCAGGAGCTGGGAAGAAGACACTGAGTCAGGGAGGCTGCACCTCTCTTGCTCCACCCACAAGCTGGATCCACTGAGGATAGGGAGAATGCGGGTTACCCAATCAGTCCTTGGAGGAGCTGGAAGACTCCTTCCTAAGGGATGTCTACCATTGTGCTTCAGAGCATGTCTGCCTGGGGTGGGTAAGGAGCTACTCCATAATTCCTCACAAGGGGCTCTCTCACTTTCTGAAGCACTTGGTACAGGATACTGTCAGATGGGATGCTGGACCTTGGTCTGTCTACACAGCAAAAGCTGTGCATGGCCAGCCTACCTGAGCCGGATTGAATCTAGGTGACCTGGGTGGCAGACCTACTACTGTTGTGGGGGAGACCTGAAGGCAAAGCAGCCCTGCCCTGCCGGCTCAGGAAGGATGAATGTGCAGTTAGAGGTGGGGGACATTGGCTCATGTTGACCCTTAGAACAGCCTGGTTTGGATCTGTGAACTGGGGGGCCTTGTGGTGGAGCTAGGAGTTGGTGAGATGGTTAGTTTGAGGAAAGCTGGTACAGGTGGGTGGATACTAAGACTGGGGCTATGGGCCTCTCGAAAGCTGGCCTAGGCTTAACCCCTAGATGTGGGTGGTGACTCCACTGTGGAAGCTCCCCGTGCAGGGGGAGCCTGGGCAGTGACACAAGGAGTAGCAGGGTGAGCAGAGGGCCTGGGACTGGCCATCTGCAGGTTCCTGGTGCTTCTCTGGAGACCTGGTTTATTGCTGTTGTGATGCTATGGTGGCTCCAGAAATGCCATTTCAGAGGGGCTGCTCCTTCTGTGGCGGGGGGCGGGAGTGAGCCACAGACTTCAGGCCAGGGGGTGTTCAGGAGGCAGAGGAGTCCACCAGAGCATCCCCTGGGCTGGCTGCTGTTCTGGAGGTGGCGTTGGACAGACTCCGGTTCTGAGCCTGCGTCTGAATGGTAGCAGGGGAGGGGGCAGGAGAGGCCTGGCCTGCCTCCCTGCTTGCCACCAGGGTCTAACCCATGGCTCATCTGTCTGGCTCTAGCTCCCTGCCAGCGGCACTGTGAAGCAGAGTGCTACAAAGCTACCTTGCAGTGAGAAGTGCCCCTCATCCCTCCAGCCTCCTACCAAAGTCCCAGGACTCAGCAGCAGCAGCAGACCCTTGCTCATGGGATCCCGAGTTTCTCTGGGTCCAGGGATCCTCTGCATGAGCAAAGGGGCTGGAGCTCCGGGAACCAAACTCCCAACTTACCCAGGTGAGCAGACGCAATGGAAGGAAGCCAGTAGAGTTGGGGAGGGAAAGGAGGGTCTGACCTAATGGGGAGGCCATCTGCTCTCTGTGGCAGTGCCCTGGCTGGACTTTTCAGCTCCCTGGCTGCCCTTGGGGGCTGTGAAATCCTTGTTCTCCTTTCCTTCTCTTCCCCAGGTACCAGGCTAAGACTAATGAAGCCCAGACCCAGCAGCATGCAGCACATCAATGGGACCCTGCAGCCAGCATGCACTCTTCCCACTGGGCATCCAGGAGCCAGATCCAGCCCCCAGGACAAAGAGACAGAAAGTAACTGCCTGTAATCCTGCTGCGTGCAGAGCAGGGAGCTCCTGTAGTGCTGCAGGCAGGGAGCAGCGTTATGGGGGAGCACCCCCAACGCTCATCTGGAGAGCAGCATGGGCTGGGAACGGAAGGTGCCTGCTCACTTGTCTTGGGAGTGCTGTGCTGGACCCTAGCTCCAGCTCCGTGGTGTTCTGTGAGCGGACGCAGCCTTGCTGGGCTTGCTGTCTGAGCTTTGCGCTTGCTGTGTGGTGGGAATGCTGCGTTCTGGGCAGGGGAGGCTGGGGGTCCACGCTGGGGCAGTGTGAGAGGAGCATGGCTAAGCTCTGAGGCTGCATACGCACATGCTCCAGTCCCTGGCCATGCTATTCTGGGGCCAGCCCCTCTGCAGCTGGCCTAGGTCTCCTCCAGGCTAACGCTCCTCACCTCCTCAGCAGGTGTCGCCAAACCTGGCTGCAACAAGCTGCCTGTTCGAAGGGCTGCCACCGCTGCGATTCCTGCCAGGGCTCCCCACTCCCGACTGAGACCAACAGGGAGGACAACAGCCTCCCCCAAAAGGCTCCCTTCCCCCAAGCGAGCTCGCCTAGGTAAAGGTAGGTCTGGGAGGGGAAGGGGCTCGCAGTCCTGGTGCCTCCCTGCTGCAGGCAGGGCTGGTGGACAGAGAGCTGCAGGGCCAGGTCAGATTATCCATCTCCTCCCCCGTCTTCAGAGAATCGGGCTGATTCCTGGGGTGTAGTGTGGACGCTGGGCTCCGCAAAGGGCTGCACAGTGGGAAGCAGAAGTGCTATTTTGAGCCTCCTTCCCCAGGGCCCTCCTGGCCTTTCCCAGCCTGGAGCTCCAGTCGAGGGCTCCATCATGGCGTGCCCTGGTTAGGGCGGATCCCACTGGCTTGACGCTACCTGGGCAGAGGCTGACACCCTTCACCTTCGCTTTCTAGACACTAACTCAGCAGCAGCTGCCCAAGCCCTGGAGCCCAGTGGCGGAGAAGGGCTCTCTGTAGACACTGAGGACAAGCCAGTGCTGGCTGTGGGGCAAGACTGCACCAGTGCAGGTGAGCGAGCAGTTCAGTAGCTTTGGGATGCCGTGAGACATGGTTAGCGGTTTGGGGGCTGGGTTCTTAGCAAAGGGAGCAGGAACTCCTGCCTGGGTGGTTCCTTGGCCAGGCCTGCTTCTCCCGGCGCTAAGGCTCAGCTTATCCTTCCATTGGAATTAGGGAACCTCTCGGGCGGGGCCCTGACATGGTTAGACAGCACCCAAGCCTGGCATCTATCGTCCACCCCACCCCTTCAGTGCCGCTGTCCTGGGCCAGCCACTGGCTGCTTAAGGCTCCCACCCGCATTTGTGGCTCCTGAGATTCTCTGATGTGCTGGCCAGGGCTAAAGGGGAGTGGCAAATGGCATAGTGTGTTTGGGGCCCATCTCCACATCCTCTGTGGGCTCCTGGCGGGAGAGTGTGTGCTGAGCTCTGCTCCTGAAGGGGCGGAAAGGGACCGCAAAACTCTGCCAGTAAACAAAGGGAAACGTAGTTCCCTGACTAAGCCAGCGGATTGTTCCACGTTCTTGGGGCCAGAGCCTGTATCGCCCTTTGTGCAGCTGAGATCAGCAGGGTTGGAGCTGCTGGCTCTCGTCTCCAGATCACTCTGGGGCAGGAGGCAGGGCCTTCCCCAAGGGCTGCAGCTCTGGAGTGATCCCACCCTCCCCATCCTCTGGGGGCCGTGCTCTAGGTGGCAGGGCCTTTCCCACAGCCCATCAGGAGAATTCTCTGCTCTGCCAAAGAACTGCCCTGATGCTTGGGGCATTGCCATGCTGTTCCCGTCCCTGGGTAGAATCGGACTAGCCTTGGTGAAGGCATTTGGGGCACCTGAACAGTAACCAGTATTAAGACTTGGTCGCCCCTTGGATGCCCTTGGGCAATTTGGGGGAAGTTTTAAGTGGTGCAGATGCAATTTCTTGCCAGTGGAGGGCAGCAGCATCCCAAGAAAATGCCCAGTGCCGGAACAAAGACTTGTCCTGTGCCTGTGAGTGGCAGCTGTTCAGACTGCAGCACTGGTGGGCAGGGAGCGCCTGGGACCCACCCGATCCAGGTGCCTGGAGCTAGGCGTGGGTGGGACGGAGGAGCAGGAGAGCGGATGGGCCTGGATGGTTCTGCACCATGTCTGAGTCTCTCTTTGCAGGTGGAATGGCCCAGCCTCAGACGGGTAGGAATTCCCCAGCTCCTCTCAGTTTCCTCCCTGACTCTGCCCTGGAGAGTGGAGGTGCAGCGCCCTCCATGCAGGTAACAACCGGCCGTCTCCTGGCATCGCTCAGCACAGCTCTCACAAGGCGACTGGGTGCGGCGCAGCAGGGCCGGAGGAATGGCGGGATGAAGGAGGTGCTCTGTGGGACTGGGATGGGCCCTGGGATACCTGAACCTTTAAACCACGGGCTCTTCAGGGCAGGGGCTCTCGTGGCTTTCAGCCAGGCCAGGCATGAATGCAGAGCAGCTCCCAAAGCTGCCCCCTAGCAGCAGTGAGGTGAGACTTGGAGGGGAAGGAAGAGCTTCGGAGCATTCTCCTCTCCTTGAACTGCCACCCTTAGTCGTCCCAGTGCTGCTCTCAGCAGTGGCTCCCTACTCCACAGAGCCCTGGAGCCGCGCACTCGTCCTGCTAATGAAAGCCCTGCCTGGGAGTGGCCTGGGTGTGTGAGCTGCTGCTCCCTCTGCAGCCCTGACCTCCCCTGACCAGTCTCCCCAGTGGGATCTGCTGGTGGCCACAGGGGACAGAAATTTCATAGGAACTGTGCACAGGCCATGGAGCTCTGCTGCAAGGGGGAGGAGTGAGCAGCCCTGACGAAGTGCAGGACCATTGCTTTGACTTGGCCCTGCCCAGACATGTTGCCCTGTTCACACGCAGCAGACGGACTACAAGCCAAGCAGATGGGAACCGTGTTCTAAACGCTTGGGAGGTGCCGGGCGCTGTGGTGATGGGGCCATGTCCGCGCTCTGCCATCTCCCCTATGCAATGCCATGTCCACCTCTGGTGCTCAAAGCTCCCGCTTCCCAAGGAATTACTTCCATCGGGCATGTGCAGGCTACAGACTGTCTTGATGCAATGGGCTGTTCTGGTCCCCCTCCTGGGTGGAGCTGGACACCAGGGTCCCCCTGTGAAACTCTGCTCCAGACCCCTGCAGCATCAAAGTGCACTGGGCAAGGGGCAGGAGAACGGCTTGTATCTTGCTGGCTTCCCTGGTTGGTGGTGAACAGCCTTTCTCCGTCAGCTTCCAGATCAGCTGCTCTCGCAGGAGCTGCAGAGAGTGAGGAGTGAGCTGCAGAGAGTGAAGAATGAGCTTGGTATGTGGGGCAGAAACCCCTCTCCCTCCTAGCGGCGCCATGCGGGAGCTGGAGCTGGAGCGCTGCTGCTGAAGCATGGCCCCTGGGTGGGGGGGGGGGTGGGGGGCCCCCTCCAGTTCCTGGGAGCCCCAGCGCCCGTGCTGCAGTTGGGCACTCAGGCCTTGGGTCCCTACCCCATGCAGTGGGAACCACCACTAGAATCCCACACTCGGGCTCCCTTCCCCTCTGCCCAGCAAGCATCCCTGCAGCGCGCTCTGCCGGGCTGGCTGGGCACACGCTGACCTCTCCCCTGTTCTTCAGCTGCAAGAGATGCCCAATGTGAAGCCTATCGAAGGACGATCTCCTCCCTGGAGGCTCAGCTGAGGGCAGGTAGGTGATCCCCCTCCTCTGACAGTGGCCATGCCCCTGGAAATCCCTCTTGCCAACCTTCCCAAAGCCCCCTCCTTGCCTGAGGAAAGGTGGCGCTGTGAGCCCATCGCACGGGGGGAGTTAGTCCCACAGCCCAGCAGCTGGAGCAGTGTGTGTGGGGTCACCCCACGAGCCCACTGTGGACCAGAGCCAGTGAGTGCACCCCCTGCCCCCGGGGCAGACAGACCATGCACTTCTTTACAGCGACCAAGGTGAGGTGCTGTCTGTAGCCCAATGCCTCCTGCCCCTGCAGAGAGTTGGCTCAGGAGCTGGGAGCATCTTGTCTCGTACCAGCCTCCCCGGGCTGGGGTCCCTGGTCATTCCCTCGCGGGTGGGCCAGACGGCGCTGAAGTCTCCGTACCCCTCCTGCTGTGCCCTTCCTGTAGGCAACGGGAGTGCCGTTGTGCAGACTAGGCCAGGCGTTAAGGGTTCGTGCTACCGGGCAGCTGGCCACGGTGCCAGCTGTTCTCCCTGCCCCAGGCCCTGCTTGTGGCTGCCTCAGGCCCAGGCATGTGCTGAAGTGACAGAAGTGAGCAGCAGTGACTCGCTGTCAGTGTCTTTTGTCCCATGATGCCCCTGTTCCCCCGCCCCCAGGCTCCCTCTCACAGGACTGTGCCTTGGAAGGCGAGTGACAGCGAAGCATGGAGGGCCTGCGTCTGCCTCTCTAGCAGGCTCCTCGCAGGGGTGCGCTGCTCTGGAGAGCCTGAAGGAAAACCCTGCAGCCCAGCGCCTGGAGCGAGCGGTGACTGTTCACACGGACACCTGCGGGGGGGAATTCTTAATTTTGGGTTTTTTTAAAAGGTAAATAAAGTTCTCTTCCTTCCCCTTGGTGCTGTGCAGAGTCCTCCTCCTGCTCCCCTTGGCGTGTGTTGCTCTGCTGGCCGGGGGGCATGCAGCCTCGCAGGGCCCAGCGCTCCTAGCTGGAAAGAGCCCCCCAGGCTAGGCTGCAGCCAGCGCCCAGCACAGGAAGCACCACTCTGGGGGCTGGACGTGGCCCCCTTGCAAACTGGGTCCTGTTGTCTTGCCCCAAGGCAGCCTGTGACACCTGTGGTACATGGGGTCCCATAGTGCAGCTCGCCTGCCTGCCCTGGGCACAGCTCCCTTGTCACAGCTTCCCTGCGAGGCCCTTACAGGTGTGGTGTGAGGCATGGACCCTTGGGCTGTGGGTCCCTCTGTGGCCCTCACTCACATCACTGCCTCTGTCGGGTGGGCAGGGAGTGAGGACACTGGCTCCAGCAGTGCCAGCTGCTTGGGCTTTAAGGAATCCTCCTCTGCACTCTGCCTTGAGGGCACCTGTCTCTCCCAGCCCTGGTTCTGACCCAGCCAGCCAGCACCTGGGGGGAGGGGGGGGAGGAGAGGCCACAGGCCCCTCCCTTCCTTAGTGCCTAGTCCCACATCACTCTCACTTCCTCCCCTGTTAGAGGAAATGTCCCAGGGTGGCAGCCAGCATGAGGTCACCACAGCATCTTCCAAGCCTCCTGCAGCTGATCTGAGCGTGGGCGAAGCTTCTGCCACCAGCCAGTTCCAGCCTCGAGCTTGTGGAGGGAGAGACCGCGTGGGGCAGGGGGAGGGAAGATGTCTTCCCTGCCGGGGATTCCTCTGCCGTCCCACTTGGAGACACGAGATAAAGGAGGGGGGAGGCCTACGTGTTCCTCTCTGACCTCTCTCCTGCAGTGGGGCATGCCTAGGCCTCTTGGGAGAGGGATTACTAATCCCTTCCTACGGGCAGGCAAACAGCCAGCATGTCTCGTAGCATTGGCTGCCGGGCTAGGAAGGTCTCTGCAAGCTGTGCAGCTGTGGCGTGGAGCCGCTGGCCTGGGGCGAGGAGGTGCCTGGCCTGCAGCCCCGGTTACTGTTACCTTCCTTCTGAGCTTTGCTTAGACCTCCATAGGGGCTGGTGCTGCCCCTTGTGCCCAGTCCTGGTTGTCTGGCAGAGGCTGGGCCTAGAAGAGAGCCAGCTAGATCTGGTTCAAGCCAAAGAGGGCAGCGTTCTGTGGAACTGGCCAGGAAGGTGTGAGCACTCACCCAGTGTGTCTGCGGGCTGGCTTGACTCCTCCCTGCACTAGATTTCCAGGAGCATGCCCCCACAGCCGGCTCTTCACGCTGTACCTGTGCCCTTTCCTGCGACAGCTCCAGGGGACTGCTTGTGGGGGGTGAGCTGAAAAGCGCTGGGGGGACTGTGGCTCTGAGATGGTGGCATAGCAGCACTTTGCGCTAGTCACCGTCCAGCCGGAACACGTGCCCTGAGCCTCGCTCCGGGGCTCGAATGGCTTCAGGCCTGGCTGCCTCTGACCTGCTGTGCCCGCAGTGCTCATCTGCCCTGGGCATGAGGCCGGAAGAAGGCAGGGCAGCTTCTCCCCTGTAGAATTTTGTCCCGCTGAGCCTGGCCAGAGTCAGGAAGGTCTGTCAGATGTGCAGCCTCAGCTAGCCCTAGTCTACAGGCTGTGGCACAGCCAGTGCTGTATCCGGCCAGGCCCTGGGTTCTTGGCTCCCTAGGCTTTGGCAGTAGAGCACGTCCAGCTGGTGCATGGCTGGGTGTTGCAGAAACACCAGAGGCTTGGACTGGCAGCCTCAGGCCTGTTGGGTGGCCCTGCTTCCCAGCCATATTGTCAAATCCTGCTGCTGCTGCTTTCTCCTAGCTTCTCCTTCGTCCACCTGCAGGGTTCCTCATGCTGATGTGATTTCTCTCCAGGGCACCGCAGCTGGTCAAACTCGCCCACTGCTGCACTGGGTCCCTCTTCTCCCCCTGCGCTGGCTCCGAATTCCTCACTCCACAAGCCAGGAGCTGTGCCTGCTCAGCGGGGCCATCTTCTGGGGCTGCCTCTGAGTCTCCTGCCAGGCAGCCCTGAGCCTGTGCCCCACTCAGTCCCCTGGTCCCTGCCTGCCCTGCCCTCTGCTCTAGAGCTGGGGAAATTTCTGGGGAATTTTGCAGGGCCCTGAGCTTATTTGGCAAATAGATTAGGCCAAAATAAAGCAACTTTGGAAAGACTGAAACAACCCCCACCCTGGGCTTTGGTTTTTCACATCAGTGTGTATGGAACCCACGCAGTCATCTTCAGTGTGAACCAACGCCGGGTATTTTGGCTCAGAAGGGGGCTGAACCAGTCACTTATTCGATCAGCTCTTCGTTCCCTCCAGCTGTTGCATCAGTACCCGGAACTCATCCTCCCTGCATGCAAGAGGGAACTGAAGGCAGCTGGGGTTGCCTTTGCCCCTCCTGCGGCACCCTGCGGCACCCTGCTCCGGCTGCCTGTGGGGCCTGGGCTCTTGTGGGGAAAGCCCCAGGCACAGATCAGCTGGCTGACAGCAGGCTGGACTGCGCTGACTGGGCTGGTGTTGATTGTCATCAGCTCCCATGCTCTGCTCTCTGCTGTGGAAACAAAAAGGAAAGGGCCGGTTGCTGCCCCAAAGAGCACAAGCAGCCAGAGGACAAGGGAATGAGCCGCTGGAGCCTGGCCGTGCCTTCGAGGTACCTGATGCTCCCACTGGCTCCTTGACCCCTTGTTAGCTAGCTGCCTTCTTGCAGGTCTTAGGAGGGCTGTGAATGCTGAGGGTCCTGTGCAGCGAGGGTGGCCTGGAGGCAAAGGCAGAGGTGCTTGTGGGAGCAGCGCCCGGCTAGAGGAACAAGGCTGGGAGCATGGGCGGAGCAGGGAATTCGGCTGCGTGAGCAGGAGCTGCAGCTGTTGGGAAGGGAGGGCCTGACAGACTCCGGACTAACCCTTATGTTCTGAATCTAGCACCCTGGGGCCGAATTTCTGCAGCTTCCGGTGAGCCTGCCGGGGACGTCTGCTGCTCCTGTGCCACGAAGGCACGGCAGGCAGGTGGGAGGGGGATGCCTGGGCAGTTCTGTCACCAGAGCTAAGGGGGGGTTGGAGGGGTTGCCGTGAGCCAAGGGAAGGGTGCTGCAGGCTGTGAATGCTCAGCGTGCAGGATAAAGGAGGGGGAAGGGGGTCCTTGCACCTCATGGGAGGTTAAAGCGGGAGAAGGATCTGGGAATTACTGCCCGCTGTTATTACAGGAGCAATGCCATAAGATGCGTTCCCTTTGCTGGCAGGTAAACCTGCCCCCCTCCAGCCCATGATCCCTGCCAGAGGCGCCCTGCTGAAGGACAAGGAACTTGTGCTCTGGCTACCTGCAGGGCCCTGCCCAAGGGGCCCTGAGCACCAGCTTGCACCAAGGGGTGGAGTTTGGTATGTTCCTCAGGCCTGGCACGTGCACATTGCCCCAGATGTATTTCTGGACTGAGCAGTGCTGCCTCTTCCCGCGGGCATTGCTTGAGAGAGTGCTTTTCCTTAGCTACAGCAAGAAAGGGGCCTCCCTCCCCGCCAGCCTCTGAGGACACAGGCTGCCAAGGGCTTTAACACTCCTGCTGCACCTATGCGAGAGGGCCCCCTTGCTGAGCTCCAGGCATCCGGGTGTTTCCTGGCTCTCAAGCATGTGCACACATGGCGCTGCTGCTGCGGGGCAGGGCTGGCGGTAAGCTGGAGTTGTGCTTTTCTTTTCCCTGTCCTAGGCAGGTTTCCTTCCTTCTGAGCAGCAGGGAGCGGCTCTGGGACAGCGTCTGCTTGTCCCTCTGTATCTCAGCCAACACAGGAGGCAGTGGCTGTTTCTGCCCCTCTGGTCATGAGCCCAGAGCCCAGGCACAGCCCACCTCCAGCTGCGTGGGAAGAGGTCTGCAGTTAAGGGTGGGGCACTTTTGCTTCCCTTCCCTGTGACTCAGCTCTGCCCCGGGACAGACCGGGGGATTCTCAGCAGGTTTTGCTGTCTCTGCTTCCTGGAGCTGGCTCCTGAGCTCTGGGAAGTGGCTGGGCCCCCAGCCAGAAAGGCACGATGGGGGGCTGGCGTGGAGGCCTATGATGCGCACACACACTGTTCAAACAGCAGTTGAGTTGGGGTAGCAGTGCTGAGTGTGTCTGCACTGGAAACACTGTAGTCTAGACCCTTACACAGTGTTGGAAGGGGCAGTGGTTCTCAGACTTCAGTGCACTGCGACCCCCTTCTGACAAACATTACTACAAGCCCCCAGGAGTGGGGACCGCCTGCCTGAGCCCTGCTGCCCTGGGCGGGGATGGTGAGGGGCAAAGCCGAAGCCCAAGGGCTTCGGCCCCAAGTGGGTGGCCTGTAGTGTGAGCCCTGCCCCTCAGGGCTGAACCTAACGCCTGAGCCCTGACCCCCCCAGGCATTGGGGCTTTGGCTTCGGCCCCAGCAAGTCTGGGGCCAGCCCCATTACAATGGGGTCACGACCCACAGTTTGAGAACCGCTGCTTGCAGTGACCCCACTTCCCCGGAGCCAGCTGAGTGGGGAATTCTCGAGCAGGGCCAGCGGCAGCTCGACTCCAGCACACAGGCTGGCACGGTCCTGGCGATGTCGCTCGCGTGCAGCCCAGGCCTCGCTGTAGCCCAGGCCGCAGGCCGCTCCGCGTTTTGTTCCTGGAAGCGGTTCTCGGGGCAGGGAGAGGGTGGCTCACTTCCTCCTGCGGCACTGCACCTCTGAGCTGCCAGGACCAGCAGCTGATGACACCAGGGCACAGCTTGCATCAGTGGCAACGCACGGCATTCTGGGAAGTGTAGTTCTGAGCTGGTCTGTGTGGCAAAGTTTTCGTTTCACAGGCAGCAGGTTTAAAACAAGCCTAGGGAAGCACTTCTTCCCTCAAAGCACAGTCAGCCTCTGGAACCCATTGCCAGGGGACGTGGTGAAGGCTAAGACTGTAATGGGGTTCAGAAAATAACTAGATACGCTCGTGGGGGACAGGTCCATCAAGGGCTAATAGCCGGGGTCAGGGATGC